CTCCATCCACAGTACTACTACTACTACTAGTACTACTACTACTACTACTACTACTACTACTACTACTACTACTACTACTACTACTACTACTACTACTACTACTACTAACTACTACTACTACTACTACTACTACTACTACTACTACTACTACTACTACTACTACTACTACTACTCCTGCTGCTGCTACTACTACGACGACGACGATTACTACCACTACCACTACCACTACCACTAGCACTAGCACTAGCACTAGCACTAGCACTAGCACTAGCACTAGCACTAGCACTACCACCACCACCACCACCACCACCACCACTCCTACTACTACTACTACTACTACTACTACTACTACTACTACTACTACTACAAGTACTTGTACGAGTACTAGTACGAGTACTAATAGTGGAACAAGTCTTCATACTAGAACCACCAGCACCACCACCACGACCACGAGCAAGACCACTACCACCCTACTGACACTAGCACTAGCACTAGCACTACCACCACCACCACCACCACCACCACCACTACCACCACAACCGCTACCGCAACTGCCACTAATACCACTACTACCACTACTACCAACACGACCGCCACGACTACAACACCTCGATCTGGTACTCCTGCTTCTGCTTCTGCTTCTGCGACTGAAACTGCGACTGCAACTGCTGCTGCTGCTGCTACTACTACTACTACTACTCCTGCTACTGCTACTGCTACTACTACTACTACTGCTGCTACTCCTGCTACTACTACTACTACTACTACTACTACTACTACACCCGCTACCGCTACCGCTACCACTACCACTACCGCTACCGCTACCACTACCACTACCACTACCACTACGACTACCACTACAACTACTACTACTACTACTACTACTACTACTACTACTACTACTACTACTACTACTACTACTACTATACTACTACTACTACTACTACTACTACTACTACTACTACTACTACTACTACTACTACTACTACTACTACTACTACTACACCTACTACTGCTACTACTACTACTACTACTACTACTACTCCTGCTGCTGCTGTTGCTGCTGTTGCTGCTGCTGCTGCCAGCCAAAGCAGCAGCAGTAGCAAAAGAAATGCGAAGCAGACATAGCTGTAAGGGTCGAGATATTGCACCAACTACAGCTGCTGTTATTGTCGTCTGAAGCCACAAACCAAAACTGCCAAGACAAATGTCACCATAGCGGAGTGCAACCGCATGATGGGACTTTCAGAAGATGAGGGCCGTGATACAATTCCACAATGTCCATAGGATCCCTCAGTATTATTTAGGAAACAGCAGACTGGCCTTGGGAGAAAAGTCCAACGAAGGACTCCCCGACCAACGCCATGTCAAACCAATTCCATGCCCTCGGGCCAGCAAAACCAAGCTGGACGTGAATTCTCTCTGGAACAATCTGAACACTGTCTGGCCAATTCAAAAGCAAGCAAGATCAACACGACCAGTGCGATTAGGCAGCCACTTCGCGCACGCTAACAGAGCACAGTGGCCTGATTGTAACACTGGAGGTCTACGGTCCCGACCGTTGCAGCACCCCTGTGAGCTTCGAGTAGAACACACTCCAAGCCCCCAAAGCGAAGTCGCAAGCCGGCAAGGATGACGAGCTCACCCGCAACACGCCTACATTTACAGGCTCGCCGCGGCCCAAAAGTCGCCAAAAACACACGAGATCCGCAAGTCGGTCTCAGGTTCACGCCGCTCCTCTCCGACAAAGAACTGCCTGGGTCGACAGCTAGATAGTCGAGCTGGGAAGGCCAAGATTCACTGGTCTTTCCTTGCCAAGGCATCGTTATCCTGTCAGCTTGTTCGTATCAATACTCAACAGGATAGTTCTGCTGCTTCCTGATGACGTTTGAGTAGGTGACGATGAAGGCGGTGAAAATGGCAATGCAGATGATGGTGGTGTGAGTGAGGATGATGGCCGTAATGATGACGATGTCGATGATCATGATGACAATGCTGAAAACAATAAAACTGAGGATGATATGAGCAATCACTGTGAACATGAAGCTGCTCGCACTCGTGATAACGACAACGAATCAAATGACAGCGAGGAGGGAGAAGATGCTGCTGACCACGATGATTTTGAACAGGCCCGGCATCACAACAATCATCATCAGGATCAACTCAAGAAGAAGAGGGGAGGTGGCGGTGGCGGTGGTAGTGGTAGTGACAACGCCTATCATAAGCATCCTCTTCGTCATCGATGCTGTCTTTCACTGCCGAGACGGAAAACATATCTCCTGTATTACCGCCTGTGCTGCCGCTATGCTAGCCAAATTTCACAAGCCTTGGCTTCCGTTCCGTCAACAAAGGCCGACAAAGCCGCACTCAACAGCGAAATCCTTGCCAGGGTTTCGCAACGTGCACAGCCCGCTGAAGGACCTAGGGGTTTGGGGCTCGGGGCTCTCGGTCGAAGCGGTTTGATTTGCTTGATGTAGGTTTAGGGCTCTGGGATCTTGGAGGTTTGGCGGAATTCGGGATGTTGGGCTTCTTGCCCTGTTGCCCCTCTGAGCACCAGGCACACGGTCAGCAATCATCTTTATGAAGAGCTCCACCCCAAACCAGGCTGGCCACAGGATTGAGTGTAGCAGTTCTGAAGCGATATTCTTGCATGGCTAAGCTTGCATAAGAGCTTGCTCGGCGGCTTGATCGATGCATGCCGGTTACTCACCAACAATGTCCCGCCTGTGAAAGCGATGTCGAACTCGACCTGAAACCACCAAAACTTTCTGCTTAGAGCTGTGGTCTTCTCTACTGGGCGAACATGAACATCCCAAAAGCAGCAGCAATGCCATCATCATCGAAGCTATCATCTTCATTGTCACCATGGGACAATGGAGACGACGAGGACGGCGACGACGAAGAGACGATAAACAAGAACTGCAAAGAACTGAGCGGCTGGTGTTCCTGCTCCTGCTGCAAATCACTGCTGCTTCTGCTCATGTCGCTCTTACAGTTTCTGTCGGCGAGCAACAAGGGCTAAGGGCTTCGACTTGCCAAGGGTGCTACACTGCTACATGGTGCTAGCAGCACAAGAAACTGGAAGCTCTATCAGGAGCGGTCCATTCACTGACACCTCCGCTACGGTCACGGAAGCCCTTCTATGCTCTCAGACATGCCGTCATGCGAGAATCTGAAGCACATCTTGGCCGGGTCGCTCCCGGCTGTTGCACCGGCTCGTTCCTAAGGCGTCTCCAGCTGTTGCTGACCTCGGCTTTGCAACATCGGCCACGGTGGTGTTTGTGCTTTTCTTCGGGCTCCATTCCTGCTGCGCAAGGCTAGTTGATATTTAGGGGCATGGGGTTTCGGGGTTTAGCATTTCGGGTATGTGATTCCCTGCAAGCTTTGCACTACACGATCCCTTGGAAACACCAGAGACGGCAGACCTTTGCACCCGAGTCTGAGGCATTCGTGTTGGCCGCCCAGCCTGGGATAAGCCAATACCCTGCCCGGAAGTCCTGAGACCCAAAACCTAAGCCTGCTGAACACTCACGATAGACTGGCAGTCTCTTCACGTTTCCAACTTTGTACAAAGATCTGATATCGCCTTGCAGTTGGAAACGACACCCTCCGCCGGGCAGGAACAGACGGCTTCGGCAGGTGTTGCTGATCCGGTGCGTGGAGGCTACGGGTTCATGTACTCGTGAAAAGAGTAGAAGGGTTTTGTGGCAAACTGCACCTTCAAGTTAGCCACCTTGATAGTTCGCAACCAGCCTGCAACCAGCTTGCGCCCAACACCCCGGGATCGCCGCGCCATTGGGAGTCAGGAAACAAGACACCATTGGATACAAGACTCCCAAAAACGAACCCTACTTGTCAGACGTCCCCATGTCCCTCCGCAGAGGAAGCAACATAAGGAGGCGGCCTAGGTAGAGAGTGTTGGCTGCGATGGCCAGCATGGTAATCCTTAGAGCAAGGGATGGGCCGCTTTTTGGTGAATGGCTTGCCAAGCAACAACCTACTTGGTTACCCTGCTTTGGAAAGAGGATAGCGTGTTGGCAGGGCCGAGCCTTTTTGGTGCACCCTTAACATTAAGCAACAAACGCCCGAAAGCTTGAAAACCCCAAAGCCGAACCCCAAGCCACAAAGACACAAAACCGTGAAACCCCGCATCTCAAGGGCTCAAAACCATGAAAGCCCAAAACTCTGGAAACCCAAATCCCTGAAAGCCATTGAAGCCCTGACAGCTCTGAGAACCCCTGCGACTTAAAGAAGAGGCCGTTGGTGAATCTCTTCATCAGGCGCTCCTGCAGAAATTAAGGATTGTGGGGTTTAGGGATGGTTTGAATCCACTTTGGCCGAGAATGGCCGAAGACCGGAAAATCAACAACAGCAAAATAGACGAGGTCGGACGAGTACCGAGCACGCAGCATGGAGGGTCGATAACGACTTGCTTGTGCACAGCACGTATGCTGGTTGAAGCTGTGTGGAAGTCCTGACTAACATGCTGGTTGGAAGCTGTCTGCACCGTGGCTCACGCTTTCTTTACAACGCTTTTGGATGTCGGACGTCTGGGCATGGTCCGCCTGTGTGCGTGCCGCTGGAGTGCAGTGTGATGTGGAGATGCTGCAGATAGCACTCAGTCACAGTGCAGCCACAAGCCCCAGGTTATGCAGACGCACTTTTTCCCCGAATCCGACGAGGTCCGAGAAGTGGCAGATCAGATCAAAACTCCGAGGGACCCGAGGCAGGCATAGCTCAGACAGGTCCGAAGACCGGTCGGAAATACGCCACCCCTCCTCGGCTTGATCAAACGAGGGGTTTCACAACCCCCCAATCCGATCCGAGAGAAAACATCCGACCCGGGAGCCCGAGAGTGAAAAGGTCCCGCCGAAACGTACAGTCACAAAGTGCCGGTAATCGGCACCTGAGGCAACCGTACCTGGCACTCGTGTCCTGTTTCAAATCAGGGCTAAGAGAGGGAGCCCGGGAACTATTGATCTGATTTAAAAGAAAGGAGCTTTTCCAGGATCATCCAGCTCGGAGTCCAGGACAAGGAGACGTCCCGCCTCTTTTCGGGGGAGAATCCTTCGAAATCAAAGTGTGTGAGCTGATCTGCCCACGTGTTTGAGCTCCGCTTGACATGGGTGGCCTGAGCAAAGACACCCTTGTGGAACTCCTGTGCTGAGAGCTCCATCAAAAGCGCCGAGCAAGGCCACTTCTTCGAAGATCTCTTGCTGGCAGAAAAGGCGTTGCCCTCATTATCCGTAGTGAGAGGGAGGTGCGCATCGACCATGCTGGGTCCCAGGGACTCCGCAGCCAGAAGGAAAAGAATGAGGGTACCCAGGAGTTCAAGGGCCCCAATCCGGCGCTTAGCAGAAGTGTGCGCCAGGAGGGGCTGCGCCCATGGCGTGGCAAGGACGTCCATGGAGAACCACAGGACCTCCGCTTTAGCCGGGTTCAGAGAGGGCGAGAACCAGCCACCAATGGCGACCCAGCCATCGTCCTCGCCGGCATCACTACTCCCATAGCATGGAGTGTTGCGCTGTAGACGGAGAGGAACGCAGGGACCAGTATCCAGGATTGAGAGGAGCAGAGTAGCCAGGAAACGTACAAGGTCTCCCGGCTTGCACTTGCGTTCCAGTTTTTGTTCCCATGCATAGAGCGGCTGGAGGTGAGAACTCACCTGCGGGTAGGCCTTAGCCACCCACTGCAATTTGCCCAGTAAGGAGGTGATTTCCTTCCTGGTGTGCAGTTCCCCTGATTCCAATCTCGCCAGGGCCGGGCGGAGGACAGTCATTTTCTCCTCCGGGAGCCACACGGAGCCTTCGGAGATGTCCACCATGTAGCCCAACCAACGGTTGACCTTGCCCAGGGCATTCTTATGCCAAGAGATAGGACAACCCAGCAGCGTAAGGAAGAGCATGAGGGTAGCAGCCCCCAGTTCGCCAAGGCTCTCCTTCATAACAGCCATGAAATCATCAACAAAGACAAGGACCCAAAGGAACACCTCTGAAATCTGGTAAGAGAGGCGGGTGAGGATGGCTGCCAATCGGCCCCAATAGAGTTGAGCCGAGGCCACACCATAGGTGCCGACCTTGTTGACCCAGAACTTCTTCTTGATCTTGGCCACCATGTACCTCCAGTGCTTTTTGAGAACCTTGATCCTCCGGTGAGCCTTGCTCACATCCGACTTGAAAAGGGTCAGGTCCTTCGACGCCAGATGGAGCCAAGCAAAGAGCAAGTCGTAGAGTGTCGGGGCCGTGGTCTTCTTGTCAGTGTTCGCCCTGATGTTGTCGTTGACACCAATGACCGAGGCGTCGAAGATGGTCCTGACCTTGTCCAGTTCCTGAATGCCCGCCATGGCCCCGACACACAACTCTGCCACGTCGCAGGCGCAGAGGTCCGCCGCCTCCTGTTCCGACAAGGGCCCAGCCACCATCTCCAGGAGCTTCTCTTCCAAGAAAGTTTGCTCGGTGTGCTCGAAGACATCTGCACTGGGGTAGTTGTCAGCAGTAGTGGGAGCCGGGGGCTCCAGATCCCTCGGTGCACTGGTCTGGCCAGGGGCAGCCCCGCGCCTGGGTCCTGAGCGATTCCCGAAAGGACGTCATAGGAGAGATTTTAGGGGAATCGGCACCTGTGGCAACCGTCCCGGTGGTGGGTCTCCTCCGTCCCCCGCCCCAGCCAAACCACCTTGCATTTGCCCCTGTCTTCAGGTTTGAGTCTCCCAGGGGATGGCTTTCCACCACCATCCCTGAAGGGGCCAGAATAACGGTGTCCCAGCCGGACAATCAGGGTATTGGCCTTTAAAGGAGCCAACGCCGAAGCAACGGTGCGGTCTCCATCCGTGTCCCGGGATGTGGAGAAGAAAGATAACAGGGCCATTAATTCCAGGTTGAATTGCCAACCCCAACGGCCCAACGGGCCAGGTCTGAACTGGACCACCAGACGGGGTGGTTCGGATGCCTGCGCCTGAGGCCATCCCAGTCCAGGACAAGATTGCTGAGGACCGCCGTGGGTTTCTTGGCTCCGTGCCCCAGCATACACTGGTCAAAGCAGTGTATCTTCATCCGCGACAGTCCCGCGAAATCTCTACACTGGGCAGTTTCCCACCACGAAGAACAACTCTGCTGAGCCTCCGAGGTACCTTGGTTGGCGGGATCCTCCGGGTGTTCCAGGAGGAATGCTGGGGGCCGAGGGCCCGACGCCATTGCAAGGTGGTAGAGGAGAAGTGAGTCATTATCAACGTCCGTGAGCAACGTCTCCGGAAGGTCTTCGAGGCCCCAAGCTGCTGCCCCTGACTGGGCCAGGAAAGCCAACTCTAGGTACGTGTCGAAGAATTGACCACGTCCTGCAGTTAGGCCCTCCAACGATAGCCATGAGGTTGCCAGAGAGAGCCAGAGCACAGAGGTCAGAGAAGGTTTCCTCAGCAAGGACGTCCTGTGCAATGCCTCCCCTGCAAATGTCTAATTCCCGAACCGAGGCACCCAGGAAAGGGGCCACTCTTGTGATCGCTGCTTTGGTGCTCCAGGAGTCATCCTTCCCAGCGTAAAGAATCAGCACTGTGGGCTGATACGATTTTCCCTCCACTGGCCAGACAGACACTCCAGGAAGAAGCCTGTCCAAGAGCCTGTGAGGGAGGCCTCTGAAACCAGGCAGAGTTGGCAAAGCATGGGACCAACGATCTCGATTCCAACGGTCCCCTTCCAGTGAAGATTCGCCCAAAGCCCTCTTGTTCGGGGCAGGCGCCTGGGCGGCCGTCCCCGGAGAGGCTGTACCGTCCCCACCGACACCGGGGGGGCCCGAACAGGGCCCGAGCTTGCCGCCGCGCCAATGGCTGTGAGGAAAGAGATGGCCCGGAAGCGAGGGGCCGGTTTCTCAAGAGTGGTCCGCCGCCCTTCTCACAGACCTTGCCATCAGGGAGGATCACCGGACAGTTGTGGGACGCAGTCTCCCGGGCACCTGTTGAAGGCATGGTACTTCTTGCAGAACTCCTTGCCATCCGACCCTTTCTGTGCCCACTCATGATGCGATGCCTTGGTGCGGAAGGATCCCGTCGGAGGTGCAGGGGGTGGCTCGACCGACTCGTCCGAGCGCGTAGCCCAACGCCAGTCTTCCTTCTTCTGTTTGCCCTGGTACTTGGATGAATCGCCCTTAGCTTTCCAGGGCCTCTTGCCTTTCCCTTTCCAGGAGTCCCACTGTTGGGAGACCTTGCCCTTGTCCTTGTCCTTGCCCTTGCCCTTCCCTTTCTTGGTGCCTTTGGGCTGGAAGGGGTAGAACTCGTCTATCTCCATCGACCAGAAGCGTGAGTTATTCTGGATTTCCTTGAGGGCGGCCGAGATGGTCAGAGTCTCGTCCTTGGCCATGTTCAGGGCCACCTGACGCCATACCTTCCTTTCCGCTATCATCAGAACCCCCAGTGAAGGGGCGGGTTCCCGGCCCATGATGGTGTCCCCGAAGAGGAAATTGTAGAATTCGTCCAGGTCTGCCTTAGTCAGGTGAATGCAGGAGGGACCGGTGCAGGTCGCAACCACCATTAGAAGAGACGTCCTCCAGATCATGAGGACCCGTTTCCACTGTTTCTCTGACTGGACACGATTGGATTCTTCATGGATCCATTCGTCGTCCTCCTTGCTCTGACGCTTCTGGAACTTCAGTTCACCATCCTTGGGGTGGTTTGCAACCACCTTGTTGAGATCCAGCTGGGAGCCCGAGAGGAACTCCCTCAGGACCCCGAGCATATGGTCCGATCCTTCGTATTCCCGCTCCGGTTCGGTGCCGAACTTGGACAAGTAGGCTGCCCGCATTTCCTGGCGGTCCCCTCTGCCAATCATCGCTTTGTAGTCCTCCACCGAGTGAATGTCCACCTCGGCAAGCTTCCTTTTCTTGAGGAGCTTGAACTGTTCGACCGCGTTCTCCAGGCGGATCGCCGTGAGGACGCAGGTGTGCTCATCATAACCATTCTGGCCTGGTGAGAAGCCCAACTTGGGAGCTTCTTTTCGGAGTTCCTTCTTATCCCACCGGCCTGCCCAGTCCTGGGCACTGACAAATCCTTGTTTCCCCATGACACAGAGGACTAGCCACGGGACTTGATGCCGAGAAAGGACCAGGCGGACGCTGTCCTCGATCTTCATGACCTCATCCTTGTAGGGGTCCGGGCATAGGTCAGGAGGCCGTGCCAGGGTCTGCCTGGCGTCGATTTCAGCACGAGGTCTGTCCATCGGTCCAGGCGGTAGTAGCCCAGGCTTACACCTGAAACAGGAGAGGGCGGGCGGGCAAGAAAAAGACACCACGGGAACAACAACCCCGCGACACCGAGACCCGTCGTGAGTCTGACCCAAAATGGCAGCCGGCCCGAGCAGAAAGCTGAAGAAAGGCTGCTGGCTTGGCCCTATGACATGCGAGTTGATCAGTGCAAGCACGGATTCCTCTACAAGTCACAGTGCAGCCACAAGCCCCAGGTTATGCAGACGCACTTTTTCCCCGAATCCGACGAGGTCCGAGAAGTGGCAGATCAGATCAAAACTCCGAGGGACCCGAGGCAGGCATAGCTCAGACAGGTCGGAAATACGCCAAGTCCGCAGGGCTAATGCCTGCCAACTCCGAAAAGGCCGAGGACTTAACACGTGGGAAGAAAACGGCACTCGAAAAACACTTAATCCCACTGCCCCACCCCGGCCAGGGATCGGCACCTGCGGCAACCGCCCCTGCGGGGAGAGGGGGGTCGCCCGGACTCCCGGTCACACCGGCCAGGAGCCAGAAACTTATCGCGGCACAATCACGAAAGGGATCGTGGACCAGCCCGAGCCATCCGAGGGGTCCCCGCTGGAGGAGTCCTTGGGCACAACGTTAAGCCGAAAGCAGTCCGGGGGCTGCTTGGCTCGCGCCGCCTTAGCACAGAAGACGTAGTCTAGTCTCCAGTCCAACTCGTAGAAAGTGATCAAGCTCTTGGAGTCCTTGGGCCTCCAACCACAACCCAGGCAACGGTATCCCCGATCAAACCAGTGTACCCGGTACACCGGAAAAAACCAGGTCTTCCGGGAGTTGGTTGCCATAAAGGCGGGGCCATCCGCCCGCTTCTCCTCCGGAGGATCGTTGGCCGCCGGGAGCAACGGGAGCTGCGCGACCTCGTCCTCCATGGGTGGCTCTTCAGACAACTGGTAGTAGGGGGCATCAAGGTCTTCCGGCACAAACCGTACCCCATCCTCGGCAATCGGCTGGGGCTTGGAAAGGACTTCTTTCCATATAGACAGGACCACTGAGCGGTGTTCCCTCGTGTAAACATCCGCCATGCTGTCCCCCTGCCAACGTCCCAAGTAACGACGCTGTTCCCGGGGCACTCCCATCTGGAAGGCCAGGTTCGGCATGGCATGAAGACCCTGAACGAGGAGAGAGTCATCATCTTGACCTCCTCCTCTGCAATCCCAGCCCCCTTCATAGAGAGGAGGGCCCTGAGCCACCGCAGGGCCCGAGAATTGTCACAAAGGGCCCTCGTGAAGTCTAGGCGGTCGCGGTCTGGAACCGGAAGGAGGTAATTGTCCTCGAGGCCCTTGGTGGCAAGGCTGTTCCGCTTCTTACTGAAGGCAATCATTGGGTCCCACCATTCAACCTTGGAGAAGGAGACCAGCGGTGAAATGAGCGGTTGGGGACGATCGTTGTCTCCAATCTCCTTCACCTTAGTCTGCCAGGCGGTGAACTCGAAAGTGTCCTTAGTGAGCTTCATGGTGTCAGGCCTGGTATGGACTGTGTCAGAGAACCTAGCCGAGGCCCCGATGCAAAACCTGAAGAACGAGGCCGCATAGCCATCCGGGGAGCCCTCCGGAAGGGACCCGGCCAACTTCTCCAACGCCGTGACTACCTCCATGGAAGGTGGTGTGGCCCTCCTCTCCTTCTTGGCTTCAGACGTGACCAGGAGGCCCCTGGTGTATTCGTAACGTCGGTTGATCGCCTGGTGGGTCGTGGGGTCAAAACCACCAAAGTGCTGGGGGATCCAGTGCAGCGTCCGCCACAACTGCCCCAGCCTGTAGATGGAGAACTGTTGGTCAACCGCCTCGTGGAGTAGGTGCTTCGCCTTCTCCTCTGAAAATGGTAAGGGGGAGCAGCCCAATGTGGAACGGAGCTTCTTGAGGCTGTAAAAGACCGACTTCAAAGAATTGACTCTGGCTTTTCCCACCAATGGCCGCCAGACCTCATACTTATCCTCCCCCGGCTTGATGTCCTGCATATTGTCCAGGTGTCTGTGGTAAGGGGCAAGGACCGAGATGATCTTGTCAGCCCACTTCTTCTTTGCTGCCCTGTCCACAGCAAGTTGTTTGACCGGGCCTTCCATCAACGCCGGTCTCGGTGCCCAGTGCTCCCAAGACCTTTTCCCGCTGAGGCGTTCCATTGGGAGGGACCTCCCAAAAGCCTTGTCTGCCAGAAGCTGACCCACTGGAGAGAGAAGGGCGCTGGAGCCTTGCGATCGCCTCTGGGAAGGTCTCTTCAAGCTTTTGAATCCTATCCTCCGGAAGCGTCTGAAGCCAGGTTGCCTTAACGCCAGACACCACGTCAAAATCAAGGAGGGCCTTGGCAGCAACGTCACACTCCACCGGGTGTGGGCCCAGGCCCATGTCCTTCAAAGTGACCTCCAACCCTGGGAGGGTCTGCTTGAGCGCCCGGGAATAAGGATGTTCCATGCAGGAGACGTGGCACCTGAGGCAACCGGAGGGAGGACCAACCTCCCTTTCGCCCCTAACAAGGAGCAAAGCGCCCAGGGAAAGCACCAGGCAGGGCCACCAAAGTGACCCGGATGGAGGTTGTCTAGACCTCAGGGTCTGGCTCTTGCCCCCTGGGATTGCCTCCGAGCTGCCCCCTGGTTCTCGCATCGGTCACACCCCATCTCTCCACACCAGGCGCAGGGATCACACAGAAGGCAGGTGCCACCTTGCCGTATGCCACCTTGTCGCCAGCGTTGGACCGTATACCCGGCCCTGAGGCCAGCGTTGTTCTGGCGAGTCTCGGGGGGGAGCGTGAGCAGAAAGGACCAATCAACTTGGTCTGCCACCGGTCTGCCAGAGCCTTCCACAAGAAGCTCCCTGGCCCTCGGCTGGAATCGTTCCCAGATAGCCTCCGTGAGGATGACCAGCTCACGGTCCCGCGTGTCCACGACCTGGTCAGGCTCCCGGCCCAGCCAGTCACAGGGGCAAGAGCATACCCAGCACAGCCTGACACGTGCAAGCAGGAACAGCAAGGCTCCCACCCCTCTCCAGCAAGGAAACTGAAAAGGAAAGAAACCCAGACCGAAGAAAAACCCCCCGAAAGCCCCCCCCCCGAAGAAAACCTCGCAGAGCAAGGTCGCGTCCCTCTCCTTTTGAGCAGCCAAAGGCCGGTAGTCAGAGAAGCAAGCGTCAGAGGCGCCTTCCCCTTCAGACTCCCTCGAAGTTCAGGTTCAGGAGAGGGAATCGGCACCTGAGGCAACCGTACCCCCCCCATCCCCCAAGCATCGAGGCTGTACTGCAAAACAGTGCCCCAACTTGTTGAAAGAAGAGGATGTGGCACCCCGTAAAACGGCCCAAAGGCTCCACGAGAGGGCGCCAACATCGATTACGCCGCCTTCCCCGGCATCGAGGCTAGGGGGCAGCAATCCTCATCTCCACATCAGACTCCAGTTCTCCCTTGACCGCGTCGGCCAGGACGTCGAGGGACTGGAGGGCCATGCATCTCGTGGCCCTTGAGCCACTTGCCATCCACCGAGTCCCGGCCCCATTCCGTCCTGCAAAGGGTGCAGGCATAACGGTTCTTGGTACGCTTGCTCGAGCTGACCCTGGTGTAGTCGAAGCCTGACAGGGCCGGGAGGACCATGCCACATTCCATGTGGATTCAGTGCCTCTGGTTGGGCTTGTCCACAAAGTTCGGGGCCTTCACCCAAGCCCCTCCAGTGCAACGGTAGTACTGGAAGGCCACTGCCCACTTGTGCATGCTTGCCCGAGAAGAACGACTTGAGGTCGACCGGGAGGGACTCGATGGGCAGCGTGACTCTGTGGTCATACTCCGCACGCAGCCGAAGCCTGTCCTTGGAGTCCACGACCGGAGCATCCGGGAGGTCCTTGAGCCATCTGGGGTTGTGAAGGAAGTTCATGCAGTGGACCTCGAAGCTCATCCGGCGGAGGATGATCGCGTAGTCCTCCGGGCACTTCGGTTCTCCGAACCCTCTTGCCTCCATCCACGACTTCGCCTTCAAGCGCAGGTCAAGGAAGGCCTGGCGGCGGGCGGCACGGTACTCTCCCCGTTTGCGGAGGTTGGAGCGCACCAGGGGAAACCCCTTCTGAAACTTCTTCTGGCCTTCGTTTTTCGTTGGGCCCACCATGTTCCAGATGTCCTTGGCCGAGAGCACGCTGCCATAGCAGTTCAAAAGCTCCCTGAGGGTCACCGTCTGGAGGTTGAGCCGCCAGTGGTGGGGCTCACTGCCTACCTCCCCTTCCGCTCCTGGCTTCGAAAGCGCCACCATAGGGTTGAGGAGGTTCCCCACCATCTCCGGGATCTGAAGGCTGTACGTCGCCAATCCATGCTTGGCGAAGATGGAGTTCACTGAGTGCGTGGCCGATGCGAAGGCTGTGTGGGTGAGGTCCGTCCAGCCGGCGTACCATTCGTCAGGCTCGCCTTGGGTGACCGAGCCCGGTTGCCTCACCCACCTCCAACCCGTGAGGTAGGACATGGCGTTCAGGGTCCGGACCTGGTCTTCCAGAGTCTCCGGGGCCTTCGTCCCCTGCAGCTCCGGGAACGGCTTGTCGAAAAGGGCCGGGTTGAAGAAGGCGGCCACACGCTTCACGTCGGCCTGGTGCTTGAGGTCTCCACCTTCGATGTCCTCCGGGACATTCGGTATCGACTGGATAAGCTTGTGGACCGCCACCACTTCGGATTGGACCCGGCCGAGTACGTCTGGGTCCCTTTCTTGGAAGCTCAATATTCACCTGTAACTCCTTAGTGGCGCTCCACCAGTTCCACCAGCTCCTTGCTCCACAGGCTTGGCGGCTGGACCACCGGAGTGTAAACAAAATGGTCCTGGAGCTGCTCCGCGTTGCGCTTCTTATTCTCCTCCCGCTTGGCCTTCTCCTCCTTGTCAAAGGTCATCTCCTGCGGTGCCAGGGTCCTACGCATCGCAGCAAGAAGGCCCTGACCCTGGTTGGTCCCAGTGAGGTTGGCAGCCAACGTGGCGGAAGAGATCTGGGCCATGTTGGCGACCGCCCTCTTACCAGGGAGGAGTGCCGTCTTCGCTACCTCTTCCGCCGCATCCACGGTCCCTTCCTCCATGGCCGCTTGCTCCAAGGCCTTGAGGTTTTCCATGGCGATGTCCCGGTCCGTGGGCGCCCGCTCTGGTTTTGGGGTCCACCCATCGGCACCTGAGGCAACCGGGGTGTCCCCCTCTGCCTTCGCCGGGCACGGTTCAACGCCAGGTCCAAAGCTGGCATCCACAGAAGAGCCGTCCAAGTAGGAGATCACAAAGATACCCCCCACCTTCGCCTCCACCTTGGTAACATCGGAGAGAGAGACAGGACTCGACCACTGGCGTCCACCAGGGCGGGTCCCGAGGGGCTGTCTCCCAGCCCTTGCCCAAAATCCAGGAGGTTCCCCGCAGCGTGAGCCTGTAGGAGACCAAGGGGGGAAGAGCAGTCCAGATGATCGAAGATGTTCTTAGCGACATCCGCCCCCGGGACCAGGTCAAGGAGCGTGGAGCCCTGTTGCAGATTGCCATGCCAAGCTTGGTCAGGACTGTCCTGGCCGTGGGCACATCAGCATACTCCTTCAAGACGTGGGCCATCTCCCCCTTCTGGACAAGGAGGAGCGGGAGGGCGTCTTTCTCGCAACAGGTGAGAATGTCCGATCCTTGGCAATCCTTGGCTCTTGAAGGCAATGGAGGCCGCCTCGTTGGAGGAGGCCCAGGCGACCAGCTTCGAATGGCACTGGAGCACTGCCAGAGCAGCCCCCGCGGCCGCCCTGAGGACCTTCCCTCTGTGTGTCTTATTCTCCAGGTTCACCGCCTCGGCAAAGGTGGGCACCCAGGGCGTTGGCCATGTCCGGGCTAAAGACCACTCCGCATTCGTGCGGCTTCTGCTCCGGGCCATCCTGAGAATCAAACCTTGGGCAGTCTAGGTCCGAAGCAAAAAGGAGTCCTTGGGAAGCCTGATCCACCATCTGCACCGGGTGAGGAGTCCTTCCCCATCGGGCCGGCAGAGTTGATGGCAGCAGAAAGAGCAGGGCCCGGCAACTTCCTCTCATATTCCGTCTGGGGCCTGCCGAACTTGTACTTGAAGTCCTCCCGGAAACTAGTCTGGGGACACCAACCTGTAGACCGCCTTCGTGGCGTCCACGCACTGAACCACCGCCCTGTCCGTGCCTAGAAGTTCCTCTTTCGTCAAGGTCGGCAGGGAGAGGATGACCGTGCCCACGTTCTTGAAATCAAGCTTGTGCTTCATGTGCATCAGGCCGCTCACAAGGAGACTCGGGTCCTGGTGGAACTCCTTAGATGTTGCGTCCACATGCGAGAGGAGCTTCACGCGGTCCTCCCTTCTCAGGCAGTTCCACCGGGCCAAAACTGTGCTGGTGATCTTTTGGCCCTTTATCATCCCCACCTCCTCCGGGACGGTGCAATACCACCTGCACACAGCCTCCCACCAGGGGTGGGACTTGCTGAACAAGTCCATGACCGAGACAAAAGGCAGCTCCTTCTGGAGCATCACAACCCGATCTTCAATAAGCGGCAGGACCGCTGGGGGTCTTTTGCCGCGTCCAGCTGCTCTTGAACCCAGGCCTGCAACTGCTCGACGTCTTCATGTTCCACCCATGCATAGTCTCCGGAGGTGCTTGGCACCGTGATCGATGGGGCCTTGTCGGCCACAACCCAGGAGCCATTGGTCGAGTCGACCAAGCCCGGCTCCGAAAGGGCCACATCCTGATCTGCCGATGGCACCCCCTGGGATGGAGGATCAGCACCTGAGGCAACCGCGCTCCCTTCCCCAGGGGGCGCGTCCACCATGGCAAAGTCGCCATCAGCAGCCAGATCCGCCGGCTCCACCATCTCGACATCCAATGCATCAGGTGGCACCTCCTGGGAGGGACGATCGGCACTTGAGGCAACCGCGTCCACTACCACAGGAGGCTTGCCCGCAGCAGAGGAGTCGCGGCTGGAGGTCAGCAGGCGATTGCGCTTGGTCTCATCGTACATGTCCAGGAAAAGACGCTGGAGGATGGGCTGTCCCTTGAGGAGACCCACCGTGTGACAGGCTCGCAGTGTTTCGATGACACCTGCTCTCTTCACCTCGTCTTCTGATTGCTTGGTGACCTGGGCGAGCAGAGCCGTCACATCTTCAAGGACAACACCATCTGCAGCACCTGCAGGAGCCGCTCTGGTCGGGATAGGGGCAGCTTCTGCCTCAACACCCTCCTGTGGTGCCACAGGGGAAGAGAATTCGTCAAGTTCGAAAAGGTTCTGCTGCATTCTCTGCAGCGCAAGGTTCTGTCTGATTTGCACAGGCAAATCGTCGTGCGAGGCACGCGGGGGAGGCGACATGACCAGCAACAGAAAACAATCAACCAAGAAAAAGACACCACGGGAACAACAACCCCGCGACACCGAGACCCGTCGTGAGTCTGACCCAAAATGGCAGCCGGCCCGAGCAGAAAGCTGAAGAAAGGCTGCTGGCTTGGCCCTATATGACATGCGAGTTGATCAGTGCAAGCACGGATTCCTCTACAATTCCGGAATGTCAAGCGCTTTTATTCAGCTATGTCCGGGCCACACGGTTGTTTCCCAGTCTCTTTGCATTTCTGAGTTCGGGACCGCAGCCTGAGCATTTAGCCTAGAGGCCCCGTGCCTTCAGTTTGATAAGCTGACATGCAATGACGACCAGAGCAACTAGAAGAGCCATTGTCACTTCGTGCGAACGTCCCACAGACACCTGTCTTTCGGAAGTTCCGGGTATCGGGTTCCGTGTTTCATCAGTCTTGCCATTATCTTGCCATTACGGATGATTGCGGTTTTGCACACGCATCAAACGTTGCCGTGATTCAGGCCAAAACTCATATCGTCGCCGCCGCACACATGTACCAAGTGCGGAGCCGCCATACACCGAAGATAAGGCCCTAACAGCCCCGACGCACCCAGAAATCACGCTAAGGATCAAAACAGAAACCCCTATATGCCAAGAACGAAAGCACACATCCTTTATTCCGACACCCCCTGGAACCTCTACTCGACCTTTCCGTGCCCTCATCCCCGAACCCGAATCTCCTTCTCTGTTGCTCGAATGTCAATCGGGAAACACCTCGCCAGACATCTTTGCTCGCTGCGGATGGTAAGCAAAGTAGAGGCCTTCCTACCAAAGTCCGCCAAGAGAGGATGCTGTTTGTTGGGGCCTGCATGTCGTGCTCGAGTAGGGTGATATTAATTATATGAGTTATCATGAAATGTACTTGTACACTTAGCCACACAACTACCACTGAGCGATATCCAGACACTTTTATCACCGAGTCTTGCAAAGTAGTGACAAGTCTGCACCTCTGTACCTGCTTACAATAACCCCATATCAGCTTGATATACCACGAGTAGAAAGAGCATCAAAAGCGTAAAGGAACACGTAAACCCTGAACACCCTGAACTCTGCTACTGAAGGGGAATCCCTGAACCCCAAAGCCCTAAGATCAAAATGCGGAAACATCCGCAAACCCGAGCTTGAAGACAACCGCTCTGAGCGCTGCGCAAGCCGAACACCGAGGAGAACAGCGGCCTGTCGAGGCGCTCGACGACGAAGGCAGGGCAGAAAAAATCACAAGTGCAACAAGAGAAGCACAAGACGAAACATCTAAAAGAAACATGCATGCACGTGTATATCGTATACATGTCCTTCTGAAGAAGTATTTGGTTGAGAGTCGCAAGGGCACATGCGCGAGATCTCCAGGTGCCACAGCTCTGCGTGGCAAAGTTTGGGCGGAAACCGTGAATAGGACCAAGCTGGCCAAGGGCCTCTGGGCTCCTACCGCCGTGCCTGCTGTGCGACTTGGACTGCACCAGGCTCCCTGCCGTATACCCTGCTGCTCAAGCAGGCCATTGTGGGCCCGATCGCACAGGTACACGCATTCGGGACCCCGTGGATTCGATCAGTAAAGCCCTTACGCGGACAGTGGACACAAACCAGGACTTGGCGTCTGCAGCCATTCCTTCAGTCTGGAGATGCCCAGCTTCAGTGGCACCATGCTAAGAGGCCATCTGGCAGATGCACGGAGTGCTTTGGATGTACACTCTCTTTGCCCCACGCAAGCCGCTCCCGTTTGCTGCTGCCCCTCATGGCCAAGACGGCAGAGGACGGACAGCTGATCGATCCCACCAAGGAACTCGCCTTGCTGCAGAATCCCTCTACCGGGAGCCTTGCCGTTTCCCGTCTACGAACAAGTATGTATCACTCGCACTGTGAGAAGCGGCCCAGCGAATGGCTGGCAATTGTGAAAGTAAAGATTGTTCCTCGGCTTTCGAAGAGCATGTGTTCATAATTCATCATCGTCGCTGTCGCCATCATGACTGCCGGCACCATCGCAGATATATTTTCGGCAACTCTACCTGCACGCTGTCAGCATCATCATCATCATCATCACCACACTAAAGACACCAACCGCACCTGGTTCCAGTACTGTGCAGGACTAGTGGACCCCATTGGCCAATAAGAGGCATGGTGCATAACACTCTTGATGCCTGCAAGTCATACCGCCTCAAGACCAACAGGATACGCTCGGATGTCGAGCTTTGTATCTGAGACTCCCAGCGGGGAGCTGTCCATAGGAGTGTCTGCAAAGGGATCCATCCTGCGCCAGACGGACAAACCCTACGACCTGTCCGATGAGACTCCGAAATCCAGGATGCTGCGACGTCACCTCTCTTCGAAGCCAAACCCTGAGTCGTAAGGCTCCGTTGCGAGAGCAGCAGCAGGCGGGAGCAGCAGCAGCAGCAGCAGCAGCAGCAGCGGCAATAGTCGCAAGGGTATGAAAAACAGCCAGACCGAAAAGTTATCCTAGCAGCCTAGCAGCAAGGACAACTACGAACAGCCATAAGACTCTTTGTGGATATCGTCACATCCCAACCCAAACTCATGAGGGCGCACAAGCTGTAGTGTCGCACTTCTACAGCGCTGAAACGCAGAGATCGACTACCTCTGGTTGCAGCCTTACATGCAGCACGGTTACTGTTGATGCAACTCTGGTGCTTTAAGCAACAGCTTCTTCCCGTCTGTTGTCAAATGATTCTGCTACTGCTACGAGTGCTCCACTAACTCTCCTATGCGGCAACACGCTGACCATTTCTATGACTGCCTGTATAATTGTACTTGCAGTTGCTCGGAGCAGTAAAACGACTGGCTACCACCATTCCGGCTCAGACTGACTGTCGTGATTTCATGGCTGCAGTCAGGACCGAGCTTGTGGTGCCGCTGAGCCAACTCTCCATGGGTCACAACCCTCCATCCCCTTGGCGTCTTGAGCATTTTGATCTTGTCGCTGGCCAGGAATCCGTCCTCGCTCTCCTGAAGTGCCGGCAAACATCTGCTCAGGAGGCTAAAAGCTACAGGTGCTCCTATCACAAGGATGGTCAGCGTTACTAGGAAACACCACTCCGTTGCTTAAGGCGACGCCGTTGCTGAATCCGCACTGTGTGGAAATTACAATTGACCTCTGCGCAAGCTTCTTCTGATTCTCTTGATGGGAGTGACGATGATGTTGATGATGATGCTTATGAGGACGATGGTGATGACGATGGTGATGATGATGACGATGATGATGATGGATGATGATGATCGTCATGGTGGCTGACCTGCATCATCAGGTCCGGCTTCGTCACCGAGGGTCCTTTTGACTTCCCACCCCCACCCGAGGCGGGCAAGCAGGCACAAGCTAGGACCGAGGCCTGATCTCCGTTCATCATGTGCTTCCGGATGTGAACAGCGTCATGCACTGCCTCACGCAAAGCTGCAGTACCGCATAACCAGGTACGCGCAGCTCGAAAATCCCGAACACTGTTCATGAAAGCTCCGACTTGCTCGCACCACCCTCGCCATGAAGCAGACGGCGCCTGCGTGCTGACCTGGGAGATGTACTGACCTCCCTCTTGCATATCTGCTTGGGACTGTTGGTTCCAGCAAGACGCATCGCTTTAGTATCGGGATCCAAAGCTGATTCTTGTGTCGCAATGGGATGAGTGTCATGAGTGTCTCTAGTATGTATCACTGTTGTCGGGGAACCTTAAACATTTCCGACGAGTCGTAGTTTTGGTTTCCTCTGTTATGCTTGTGGTAGTCGTCTGCTTAGAGCAGTCCTTGCAAGCGACCCTTGCAAACAAATTGTAAAGCAGAATCCCTGCATGCGAAAATGTTCAAATTTTCACTCTTACATCATCCGCCCAGGCCACAGGCCCAGGCGTCTTGGTGGTTACCTCAGGTACCCTCCACCTAATCTTTTTCCTGCAGTCCAATTGTTTGGAGACACCCGTTTTTTGCGTTCGTTCCCTTATCCGGCTTCCCTTCATTTTACCTGATTTGTCGCCCCCCCCCCCCCCCCCCCCCCCCCCCCCCCCCCCCCCCCCCCCCCCCCCCCCCCCCCCCCCCCCCCCCCCCCCCCCCTCCCCCCCGCCCTCCCCCTGTGCCGATACACCCACAAGGAAATGCTCCTTGTTAGGAGGTGTATGACCAGTTTATTCCCTAAGGATCAAAGGGCAGCGCCCTGCACACGGACAGTAGTTGTTTTGTCTTGCTACGCAAGGAGAGCTTGTCTTGTCTCAATCTGGTAAAACCACTGTGAGCCAATGGGCAGCGGAATGTATATGTATGAGCATGCAGCCATTGCTGTAGGTACCTGTTATAGCTACCCCTTTAGAGGTTTATGGTTTCAAACAGACACTAATTTTCTTTTACCGGAAGCATGGCCGCACATTCACACATATACTGTTATGCCCACTGTCACAGTTGCGGAGTTTTGGACTCATTATAAAAACAGCATATTAAGTATGCTAGGTATAGCACTGAAGTATACTGCTGAGGAAACTCCACTCCTTTTGCGCACACACTCATGCATGTTTGTCAGAGAGATCATCTGTACAAGATCAGGTCTGATGATGTTCTACTACCGAATTATGCAGCCACTCATTGTGCTCTTGTTAGAGCCTTGTGATTCACTATTGTGAAACTCTGAGACCTTTCTTATCTCAGATTAGGATCCAGGTTTGGATCATAGGCTCGAGCGTAGACATTCGGATGTGGCTCATCCGGGTCTGAGTGGTCTTCTTCGGAACTTGAAAAGATTCCGAGTAATCTATTCTCAGCCCTGGTGAAGGCGGCATCTGCAGTATCATATCCATGGTTGGATGTTGTCGCCTTTGGCTCGGCCTTTGGAGCAGCTTGTGAGCTGACTGGAATTGCCTTGGCTTTTGCCGGTTGCGGCTGCTTAGCCTTTGCCCGTTCAGCCCTTCTGCTTTCAAGCTGTCCGTCTGAGGACGCCCATGATCTTTCGCTTTCATCTCCTGAGGGAGATAAG